TTTTGTTTCCACGGATGAAGAGAAGTCTGAAAGGAAAGCGATTCCGTGATGTGGATGAAGTCAAAGAAAACACGCTAAAGGCTTTGAACAGTATCCAGCCTCAAGAATTCCAGCACTGTTTTGAGCAGTGGCAAAAGCATTGGGACAAGTGCATTAATGCACATGGACAATACTTTGAAGGGGACTAATATACAGTTCAATAAAAATGCAAAAATAAAAAATAACAAAAATAAATTCCGGTTATTTTTGGGTTCCCCCTCATATGATGATGGAGAATTTGGTGGAATGAAGATTGGCAGGGGAAACTGAAGTACTCAGAGAAAACCTACCCCAGTGCCACTTTGTCCACCACAAATCCCACTTGACCAGACCCAGGTTTGAACCTGGGCTGCCACAGTGGGAAGCCAGCAACTAACTGCTTGAGCTATGGCATGGCCTAGCTGTTTTGATAACTTCTACAGCTATAGCCCTCCTACAATTCTCCCAGCATGATGCCAATTTTTTTTTTAGAAAAAATGTATTTCTGTGTATATTTGGTAAGGTATTTATTTCTGTTAATTGAAGATTAGAAGTGGTGGTATACATTCAGATAGCAGCCTGAAACATTGAATTGCACATAGCTTTGTGCTCTATAGCATGTACTTCTTTTATATGCCATATTACATAACGTTCGGGGCACACAGTAGAGTAGTTGTTTGAGGGGCTATGCTACAAGCCGGAAGGTCACAGGTTCAAGTCCCGATGAGGTCATTCGATTTTTTTCGATTGACCTTATCCTTCCAGCCACACTATGGCCCTGGGGTCGACTCAGCCTCTAACAGAAATGAGTACCAGGAATTAATGAAATAATTTTCCTGGTTAGTAAAGCCCGGCCAGCGCATAAGGCTGACAACCTTGCCGCCATCTTTGAGCTGATTGTCTAGATAATGTGGGACCCTCAACGTCTCACAACCCTATGGGCCTTCACGGCCTGGTACAGGGATAGCTTTACTTACTTTTTTTACTTCATTATGTAACGTTCAGCTTTATGGAGAGGGAATGTAGCACATATGGGGCGAAGTGGAATGCATATAGAATTTGGGTGGGAAATCCAGGAGAAAAAACCACTAGGAAGACCAAGACATAGATGGGTGGATAATATTAAAATATATCTTAGAAAGATAGGATGGAGTAGTATGGACTGGGTTGATCTGGCTCAGGATAGGGACCAGTGGAGAGCTCTTGTGAGCATGATAATGAACCTTCATCTTCCATAAAATTTCGGGAAATTCTTGAGTAGCTGCACAACCAGAGGCTTCTCAAGAAGGGCTTATCTCCATGGTGTGAGTGAGTTTTCCACCAATCGTCAATGCTCTGTTCCTCTTGCATGCCATTTATAGAACAGTCATCATATATAATTTAAGATCCCTACTATATTTGAAGGATTGCTCGATAGAATTTTGTGATCAGGGATAGCTCAGACAGTATAGTGACTAGTGAAGGGCTGGATGATAAGGGTTTGATTTCTGGGAGGAGCAGAGAGTTTTCTCTTTTCTGCCATGCCCAAACTGGCTGTGGGGACCACTCAGACTCCTGTCCAGTGGGTATGGGAGTAAAGCTCACAACTAACCTCCATTTTGTTCCAAGATAAACAATCCTAACCTTCTATTATCGAAGTGGAACCTAGTGTTTCCATATGTGGGATGTAAATACTATATGTAAGGTCAAAGGATGCATTAGTGCTTGAGGCTGATGTAGTTATGAAGGCTGAAATATCATTGCATATTAAAACAGTATTTGCCACAAGAAACACATATTGTAGGACTTCTAAACTGGACACATTTGAGCCTAATATTGATGGCTGTACTGTATTTCCACTTACCTGATGAGATAGAAGAAATTTTCCCTGTTTCATTCATTTCTTTATATTGAGTTGTATTTTATTTAAATGAAAAAGAGCTTAATATTCACCTTAATGGGTTACTACAGTTTTTGCACCATATTTAACAATGCTGGATCTTATTACATTGCAATACCATTTTTATTTTCACCTCATTAGGCAGTTTTAAAGGAGTTCCATATATTATGGAAGTCGCATAATTGTGTGCATGTGGATGTAGAGGTGCGCCAGCATAGATGGCTATGTGTACACACACCGTGATGAGCATCTATAAACTAACACCACTTCTCATTAGGGTGGCCTAACAGATGTGTGCCACTGCGTGCTGTCTTGAGTATGACTGCCTGATGCAAAGCGGCAGCAGGCGAAGGCCACCGCAGGGCTGACTGACATGATTCTGCTCGGGATGGTGTTCTTGGTGGGGGTTGAGGGGATTCCTTAGTAATGTGAATCACAGTTGGTGTTGGTGGTGCTTCTCCTTTGTGATTTCGTTTTGTTGGTTTCTTGCTACCTTGTTGTATGCAATCAGCTGGTGTTGGAGGTGTTGGTGGGGTGGCACTGACAGACTGCAGGCTTGTTGCCCTGTGTAAAGATAATCGTAGAGGTTTCTTTGGTGGCGTAGGCCTTTGGAGCTTGCTCTCAGTATAGCTGCTATTTCCATTGTGGTGATTGTGATGTTTCCTGTAACTGCGGAAAGTAGTGTGGCTTGTTGGCTCTGATGCGTAGTCCAGAGACCTTGTACTCTGAGTGTCATGGTTATTTTCAGAATGAGAATGTGACTGATGAGTGTGGTGCTCGTGTCTTGATGTCTCAGAATCAAAGTCCAAAGACTTTACACTCCGAACATCATGCAGCTTATCAATACGTTTGGTTCCTGAAAGAGATTCAGAAGTGCAATCTGGTTTTGATTTCATATCAGGACGTAACTGGTGTGATTCAGATTGCTGGTGGTGTCCTTCCAGAAGTTTTCTTTGGTAACGTTTTGAACGATCAATGCCAGAGGAAACCTCTGTACTGTAATCGTACACACACTGTTCTCCAGGTTTGGCAGTTCTTGTTGCTTCATAGAGTCTGTGATGAGAATGATGCTTGCTTTTAGGTTGGAGTGTGGATGTTCCATCTGATTTGTTCATATCAAGTGAGTTGGTACTCCTAGCATTCTGAAGATGATGGTGGTGTGAGTGTTTCTCATGTCGGTGGTGATGATTCATTCCTCCAGAAGATGAACAGTCTGACCCAAAGTCTAGGGACTTTGTACTGCGCACATCTGGGTTCTTTGTGACAGTGTAATGATGCATGGTCCCACCTGAAGATGAGTATGGAGCGTTTGGTTTGGGTCTTAGTGTAGGTAAACTGTGTCGGGACTCTACAGGACTACTGTTTCCTACTTCAAGTCCTGGTAGATTTGCAATCAATGCTGTCACTTGTGGCCCCTTTTGGAAGACCTGGACATCAGATTTACCTGTAGAAGTTTTTGTAGGTGTTGTTATTGGTCGAACTCCATTCACACAGCCATTTAATAATGCTGAAGATGATGAAGTAAGGGGACTTTGTGTTACACCATTGGAATGTGACAAAGTTTCTTCATCCTTCATTCTCTGCAGAAGCTCTGCAACTTGTTCCTCCAAGTAGGAGATCCTATGTGTCAAGCGGAGGTTGTCACTCCTGAAGCTGTCCTTGGCACGCTCTGCATCTTCTGCACGCCCTCTAAGAGTATCCAGCTCCTCACGGAGTAACAGAAGTTCCCGTGAATGGTCATACTGGTGGATAGTGGCTGTTGTGGGTAAGAGCGATGCTGAAGTTGAAGGGTGTGTACGCATCACAACCAACTGAGCAGGGTCTGGAGTCACTGCCAGAAGACGGAACATATCCTCCTTGGTCTTTGTTAACACCAGCTTTCCGTTCACCTCAAGCAGCCTGTATGACATAAAATTTTAGCATGATAGTTATATGATGGAAAGTGTTGTACCTAATTAAAAGTACTGTGACCTTTACATTTCAAACAGAATTTAGAAAAGCTTGTAATAATAATAATAATAATAGGTAATGCTTTGAACACCGTAGATGGTGAGGGTGAAGTTTATGGTATGAGAATTGGAACTGAGGGAAGAGAAATGGCAGTGTCAGTGACAGGCCATATGTTTTCAAATAAACACTGTTCCCTTCTAATGTTTCTTGTTCTGCATCACGACATGCACTCTGGACACTATGGTAATTATTCTAAATATCAAGATTCTGAGGTTTCTGGATTTTTTAACCATCCTGTCACAATATATCATGACATGGCAGAATATTTATCAAGAGAAGTCTGTTTCTAGGCAACAGCCCCTCTTGACACATCACAGAACAATGGAAGAGCTGTTGGAGGTGGTGTTTTCTATGTGGTCCAACCCAAGGTAGTCGCCAGAGCTCAACAGGGCCGAGTCAGAAAAAGACAAAATAGTGGCTGTCACAAAAATTGTATTAAAACTCATGAAGCAAAATGGCTGGTAGAGTTTATAAGCACTGCTGACTATGACCATGATGAATGACAGATTTGTACTCTCATCAGAGAGGGCGCCCGACATTGAAAAATCCGCAACTTTATGACGGTAACAAAAATGCGGTCTTGGGCCTTAGAAGGGGCTTGACACCAAGACTGACTGGCCGACTGACCGTCAGTCGTAATGTGACTTCGACTTTGAATTTGGAAAGCTGCCATCATGAGTCATATGCAGCCATGGGGAATTGCAAGCCTGCCATCATCCAGTGGGATGTGAGCACCGAAGCAGAAGAACCTCCATGGCTAGCAGCCGTAACCTAGCAACAGCTAAGGAAGATATAAGAGACAGACATCTAGCGTGTGCTACAGTGATTTGTTAAGTGTGTAGATTAGTGTATAGTTACGAGTTTTAAACGTCCAATAAATCTATCAATCCAGACCCCTGTGCCTAATCGCTAAGTCATGACAGTAACGCTGACCAGATGTTGCAGACCAGACATTTCTCCACAGACTCCTAGTTAGGGAACACCTAGTTGGGGCTCCTAATATATTCTTGACACATCAGTGTTGGGACCAGATATCTCTTGTGGTGCTCTTTTGAGAGCGCCCTTGTTATTGACGCCCAAATTATGCACTAAAGGTTGCAACCATCGTTGTTTTGTTATAGTGAACACTCTCCTCTGTGCGAGACGTTTGATATGATGCACTTCCGTCTTCGTGTGATTTTTATTAGTTCATAATTCAATATTAGTGGCAGCGGTTGTAGTCGAAACCGGGATATTTGAGTACTATGCCAGTGCGGTAACCACTGGACCTCTGAGGCGCCGACGACGCAAGAAATCAAGACCTATCACTATAATGACAAACGCGTGAAAACTCTAGAAACGTCATGTAGGCATGTAATACAGGGCCTACTCATGGAACATATGTACCTCATACAAGGGCAGTGACGCTGATATAAATCCAATTCACTTAATATTGAACTGGAAAGGAATGTAGTTCCGTCATACAGAAACTCTGCGTTAGTCACGATTAGTCAGCGCTACTTCCGGTTCTTTGTGCACCTGCTTATGTTAGGAAGTTTGACTACGGTGCGAAACGAATTACTAGCAGCTCAGCGGAAGTGACTTGGACACCTGAACCTCATCGTGGCGTAATTCCGGTGCGTCCACTTCTTCGTGCTAAGACTACTCCATTCTATGGTACACCGAGCACGACAGTTCAGCATTGTTCCTATCGCATTGTCTGTTGCTGCCATGAGCTCCGTGAAAAGAAGCAGTGTTAAGGCGCATCCACATTACTCGTGCTCGTGCCCGCCAGGCTTTTACTTGTGCTCGTAAATCTTCGTCCACACTACTCCAGTTGCTCGCCAAGCTTCGGCGCGTGAGGATCCGTATATTTACTCATAGTGTGTATAGACTGTAGTCGTATTTTAATTTATTGGCTATAGTTTTTAAATTAAAAATTTTAAATTTACTTGTCTCGTGACTTGTCATATCGTCCACATTACTCGCGAGCATAGCGAGTCACACGAGCACGAGTAATGTGGACTTTACATTCGGGAGGGTTCTTTAACTTGTTTCATTTACTCAAAGGCACCATTACCACGTTATGGGGGTGACAATTATAAGACGAGGGCCTTGGCAAAGTAACAAATGTGGAAATTAAGATGTGACATTTTTAAGGAGTAAATGTTGGAGCTGTGCGAACAATGTCACTAAAATCTGTAAGAGATTTCGAATACATGTTGCGGTTGAATGGTTAGCACACCTCTGTATTTTTGATATCCCATCTTAGCCCGGAGATTGGCCTTCCAGAGGTTTATCGTGGATTTATTGTGGTCTGGCCAGGCTGGAATGGTTTGGTTACGATATACATGCCTCGCCCGATTTCTTCCACATCTTACCAAATTTATCATGCAGAGTTACTCTAGCCGTGGGCCGCGCCACNCATAGCTCAAGCGGTTAGTCACTGGCTTCCCACCGCGGCAACCCGGGTTCGATCTCGGGTCTGGTCAAGTGGGATTTGTGGTGGACAAAGTGGCAGGGTTTCTCCGAGTACTTCGGTTTCCCCTGCCAACTTCATTCCACCAATTGCTACACAATCACCCTCACCTATCATCTGGGGCTGGTACAATAGGCCAGAAGTGGCCGCAGCACAAGGGACTTAGTCCCACCCCACTAGCAATAAAAGAAAATACTCTAGCCGTTGAACTCCGTGTAACCTATACAGCTGAAAATGCGTCCGTAAATAACCCAAGAACTATTGTAGTCTTCTGAGTTAACACTCAGAGAATAATGAAAACCAAGTGTCAAAAATCGAAGAACCAAACTAGTAGACGTGTTCCCTATAAGTAAATTGCCTATATTTTGGCTTACGAATGTCATTGTGGTTATTTATAATTGGAATAGGAAGACGAGATTCATTTACAGCCGTATCTGTAAACTGGCGCTAACAAAGTCCGCAGCAGATGATACCTTTACCCCGCTGATAATTCGTGTGTGGAAGAAAGGGAATTCAGGGACTAGCGTTAGACTTTGTATGTGTGTTATCAAACAAACTCCATGGCTTTAGTCCGCAAGCGAACTATACTGACCGAGCGACCGCCTCTTGTCGGCTAAGTTAGTGCCAACTTTAGCGGATAGAGGGTGTCACGTGGTCAGCACAACGAATCCCCACGGCCGTTAATTTCGGTTTTTTTTGCCGGAGCCGCTACTTTTCCATTCAAGTAGCTTCTTAATTATCCTCACGAGGCTGAGCGGACCCCGTTCCAGACCCATTACGTCTCAGAAAATCCGGTAGCGCCGGAAATCGAACCTGGAACCTCTGGGTATGTAGCCAGGAACTCTGACCACTAGACCACAGAGGCGGTCTCATAGCTGGAAAATCTATTCCCTTGTTTTTCAGCTAGTGACGTCTTCTGTTCCTTTTAGCGTCCACATACTTAGTGCTGAACATGTGAGATTTATGTTGGAGCGCCCCGCATATCGAACCTCTGAGGCGATGTCACGTCCGTCCCACTGAGATTCTGACTGCTAGTGGAACAAATAAACGTGCGTTACAGATCAAGCTTACATAGGTTGCAGCAGATGCTGGAAATGCTGTTCAATGTTCCACACACACGTCCTGGAAAGTTTACATTTTTGCAGTTCTAGAGGAACAGGGGGAACTGTGATTTCGATATTTTGCTTCAGTTGATGGTTTGATAGGTAAACGTTTTGCTTTACGGTTCGTCATAAATAAAAATCAAATGGGTTGAGGAATTGAAAGCGTAATATTACTATCGTCTTCTCGTACATTATACAAAATAATTCTTAATAATGACGCAAGAAGCCGGTCACGGTAGCCGAGCGGTCTAAGGCATGCACAGTCTTCGCTCGCTCGGAAGCCGGCATCGTGGGTTCGAATCCCACTCAGGGCACGGATGTTTGTGTGCGTTTTTCTGTGTTTGTCTACAGGTAGAGGCCTTGCGACAAGCTGATCACCCACCCAAGGAGTCCTACCGAATGTGTAAGATCTAGAAAAACCGAAGTGAACGGAGAAGTTCGTGGATGTAGGCCTAGGCCCACTGGAGCTGTAGTGCCAAGGAGAAAAAAACATGACGCAAGAATTTAGCAAGAACATAATTAAAGGCATCATAATTAGCTTCTATGTTTCATTATACAGGATGAGTCGAAACATGCGCAGTCGCAGTGAAGGCATGTTAGAGCTAGCTTGTTCACCCACGTAAAACAGCCTGGTTCATAAAGAGCGCATTCGAGTCAAGAAACGGGCGGTAGCAGAGAATATGAACTGAAGGTATCTTATAATTAGCGTCTTCGTTTACATTATACCGGGCGATTCCTATCAAGTGCAGCCGCATCAGGGAACTGGCGATAGTAGAGAACAGGAATTGAAGGTACTTAGACCTATCTGTCTCCCCTTATTACTAAATTCTGTTAGAAGCATCTAGTTTGTTCAGGGAGTTTTCAAATATGGCGTACCTTAATTGGTTATTAGAATTGACGCCCTGTATCAGTTGATAGGTGACATAGAAAATATTCAAGTCATAAATAACTAATACGGAATGGACTACCGGGAATTCTATTCTCTGTAGGATCTAGGCTCTGTTACCAAACCGGGTGTTCACTGTCTTGTCAGATAGGACACCAGGAACCTTTTCCTGGTTACAGTGGCTGACAGCATGAAGCTGTCCACTCACCCCCATCTATTTCTGCCATGTAGCGTGCGAGAACTATCCCTTTGTGACCGATAGTCTTCGTGGTGTGGTGCTTAGGCACAGGGGCGACTTCTACATGTTCTCATAAGCATATATCTTTGTATATGACAAACGTGTGCAGGCTCATAGAATATGTTGACTCATGTCTAGAATGATCGTCAATCGCTTGAACGATGAGATCCTGGGTTTGAATTCCGCTCAAGGCATGGATGTAAGTTGACTTTTTCTATATTCTGTTATCATGTAAAAGTAGAGACTTCGCTAAGACCCACTCCCCCGTCCAAGTAGTTTAACCAAATGTGTAAGGATTTGCAGTTTGAGAGTTAGTTATGAATGTGAGCAGACCAGAAAGTTAAACAGTAGACAACATGACTTTCGAGTGTGAAAATAAATTACAATACGAGTTGAACAGATGCTAGCAGCCCGAAGACCGGGTCATTGTGTGTAAACCCACGTTATTTCGCCCGCACTTAATATCATCTGAATACGAAACCCCCGGATTTTGACATGTTCTCTTCTGGAGGAAGGTCTTTCGATATCATTTGAAAATGATGGTTTTCTCAAAATAATTCTCGAGTAATGACTCAAAACATCCACTTGTTCCCAATGCATTCTACTCGTCATAATTTTCCGCTCATATTAGACGTAAAGAAAGTGTGAGGGAAATGAAAATAAAATGGATAATTACCAGTGGAATATGCATATTTTCCAAAGACATTATTTTGCAATTCATACTTTTTACTATTTACTGCAGATATAACTAGCACTACATATCACACGGTACGGAATCAGAAATAATTTATACTTATATTTCATAAATATCACAACTTAAAAAGCATCTTGTATAAAGTTACAAGTCTTATTCTTAATGGGGTGAGACTGAGTCCAATTGGTAGTGCGGCCACTATTGGCCTAGCAGCCCTGTCCAACGCGGCTCCCGCGGGCCCCATGGCGCCCGTGGTATATTTTTCTGGCGCCCTCCGTAACCACATATAATTGAGCCGATTTTTAATATGAATTCAAATTGTAAGACAAGAGACATTTTTTAACGTCTAAGTACTGTTAAATATTTTCGAAAAATATTATTATTATTTAGTAGTAGTAGTAGTGGAAGTACTAGTAGTAGTAGTAGTAGTAGTAGTAGTAGTGGTAGTAGTAGTAGTAGTGGTGGTAGTAGTAGTAGTGGTAGTAGTAGTAGTGGTAGTAGTAGTAGTAGTGGTAGTAGTAGTAGTAGTGGTAGTAGTAGTAGTAGTAGTGGTAGTAGTAGTGGTAGTGGTAGTAGTGGTGGTGGTGGTGGTGGTGGTGGCGGCGGCGGTGGCGGTGGCGGCGGCGGCGCCCGCACCTCCATAGGCATCAGTGAATTGTGCCCGAGTACATAAAAACGTTGGACAGCACTGGCCTAGTGTATCAGCCCCAGATGATAGATAAAGGTGATTGTAGAGCAATTGGTGGAATGAAGATTGGCAAGAGAAACCGAAGTACTCGGAGANAGACATTTTTTAACGTCTAAGTACTGTTAAATATTTTCGAAAAATATTATTATTATTTAGTAGTAGTAGTAGTGGAAGTACTAGTAGTAGTAGTAGTAGTAGTAGTAGTAGTNGTGGTGGGGGGGGCGGGGGCGGGGGCGGCGGCGGCGCCCGCACCTCCATAGGCATCAGTGAATTGTGCCCGAGTACATTAAAACGTTGGACAGCACTGGCCTAGTGTATCAGCCCCAGATGATAGGTAAAGGTGATTGTAGAGCAATTGGTGGAATGAAGATTGGCAAGAGAAACCGAAGTACTCGGAGAAAACTTGGCTCCAGCGCCACTTTGTCCACCACAAATGCCACTTGATCTGACGCGAGCCGCCGCGGCGGGAAGCCAGCGACTAACCGCCTGAGCTATGATGTGGCCTAGTATGCGTCTTAATGAGAACTACATATATATTATGTCGTGCACAAACATTCTGTACAGTGTGCTGTGTCAAAGAAAATCGACGAAGTGTAATTTCAGCTTCATGGAAAGAAATTACACTCGACCGATACTAATTTTGTTTATTGCTAGTGGGGTGGGACTAAGTACCTTGTACTGCGGCCACTTCTGGCCTATTGTTCCAGCCCCAGATGATAGGTGAGGGTGATTGTGGAGCAATTGGTGGAATGAAGATTGGCAGGGGAAACCGAAGTACTCGGAGAAAACCTGCCACTTTGTCCACCACAAATCCGGACTTGACCAGACCCGGGATCGAACCCGGGCCGTCGCGGTGAGAAGCCAGCGACATAGTGTAGATTTCGAGTGCCAGATTTCGTCGTAATCCGTTTTTCAGCATACGGACAGGCACGACCCCACCTTCATTCATTATGGACTTAGTTCAAAGAACGCATAGCAAATCTAATTTTCATTGAACCTTGAATGGCACTACTATCTTCTGGGATATAACGCCGAGCTCCACTTATTCGACCCTGAGGATGGAAGTGATATGTTCCTCCGAAACGTCGGTTGAGTTTCAGCGCACTACATGGCGTTATATCCCAGCAGATAGTACTGTGAGAACCTCAAATCCTTCATTACACCTTTCGTACAGAACATATTCCCCTCGCTTCGCTGTTAGAATTCGCAAGTCAGTGCGATTCCAGTCATTAGTAAAATATCAATTTTCCATTTCGTTATGGCAGGTCTTAGGCAAATACAGAGTACTGACATATTCTTAACATGATGGATAAAGGTAAAGTTGCCCCTGTGCTTGAAGACGTATGGGGCAATGGATGTATAGCTTCACCACTCTCAACCTCAGAACTAGTTAGGGGTGAGTGGTAGGCTTCATGCTTCTGCCGCCTTGCCCCCAGAAACAGCCCCCGATACCCACTGTTCAGGGGGCTGGGTGTGCCCTAGTGTGGTGACATAACGGCTTCAAGAAGGATACCTTAGTCAGTAAAGTGTCTGGCTATGGGCTTGACAGACGAAGTTTGGTTGCCAGCCCCGACTACTCATCTGATATCGACGCCCTTATATCCATACCTTCTGTTCTCCTGTCTTAGGCACAGTGGCGAGTTTACCCTTAACCTGTTGCTTGGCAACAGTAGACGTACCTGTCCCCCTTGACCATGCCCGAGTCCTCTGTTGCCCACTCCACGTATAGCCCAAGCGTATCTTCCCACGGCCCCGCACCAAATCTCGGACTCTTGGGGTCGTAGGTAAGTTCCAAGGCGTGCAGAGTCACGTTGCTAGACCCACTCACAGAGCTGTGAACAGAGAGCACATGTTAGGCGGCTCTTGGCTTGCGTAGCAGAGAGCATTGGGGTTCACCACAAATTCTGCCCGGGGCGAACTTCTAGTATTTCACTGCCACGCACTATACCCGTATGTTTTAGCCTACTTTCCTTACTTACTTACTTACTTAAGGAGCTGAGCCTTTCTTGAGGAGAAGCCAAATGTACAGCTACTCAAGAATTTCCCAGCATTTTATGGAACCCGAAGGTTCATTACAGTGTTCACAAGAGACCTCCACTGGTCCCTATCCTGAGCCAGATCAATCCAATCGATACCATCCCACCCCACCTCTTTAGGTTCCATTATAATATTGTCCACCCACCTACGCCTTGGCCTTCCCAGTGGTCTCTTAATTAAACAAATAACGTAGGCATATGAGATAACCATTCTGTTTATGGGTCTATGAATCTATTCCCCCCTGTCAACTTCTGAATGCCTGAACCAATCTATGAAACTTGGTATGTATATCTTGGCGCATGAACCCATCGCAACCGCTTACTTCATAAATGCCTTCCATCCATCCGTGTCTGTATATGTATGTTGCTAGGCAATGGCTCACTAAAAACTTTGCCTCAGCAATGAATACACACGCAACAGCAGAAGAATTCTTGAACGCGTCATTTTCTATGCGGTCCGTGTTCTGTCAAAGGAGAGTCTGTGGGTCTGTCTATGTTTCCCCCTATCGTTGCCAGGCAACGGCTCGGTGAACACGTTCCCACGGCAACGATGAATTATAGGCGTCGTTTTCTATGCGGTATGTGTCGTATCAAAGGCGATTAGTTCTTCCCAGAACGTCTTATAATAACGTTCCCCTTCATCTTTCGGATCCCACTTCAATTTGTAGATCCCCTACGGGCAATCATCATTTTCACTATCATCTATCCCTCTGCGTGACCTCACATCAGTCCTCTGTGTATCTACACCTGTCCACGTGCCAAGTAATGTTGCACATCCTAAACAGAACAAAACAGTTCCAAGGAGAACTCGGACAGCCTACTTTCCTATTGCATAGATTTTGAATTTTGTATATAACCATTACTATTTTTATTAAAGGGTGTGGACTTGTTGGATTTGGGTTTTCACAGCGCTGACTGCGAAGCTTACGCTCTTCTGGGATGTAATGCCCTGTAGTCCTGTGAACTCCCACCGGACAGCTCGGCGATACATATACTCGTCAAATTATTACTTCCTTAATCCGTTCCTCTTATACCTTAGGGTGTCGAGGTTGTTTTTTTTTTTTTATCATTTTACAGATGGTAGGACTCTTGGACGAGTGGTCAGCTCGTCGCAAGGCCTCTACCTAAACACAGGACAACAGAAACACAGAATAAACACATGCACATACCAAACAGCCATGCCTTATGTGGGATTCGAACCCACGATCCCGGCTTCCGAGCGAGCGAAGACAGTACATGCCTTAGACCGCTCGGCTACCGTGATCGGCTCAAATTATTACACCAGGACAAATTGTGTCTAGGTTAAATTTGTCGGATATAACCTCAGAGTTTCGCATCGTCACCATGTTTGTGATTGTTTACTTACAAACAGTGTCTCATACGTAATATGTATGTTCGCGTATGATAGATTTATCTTCATAGGAAGTTTCAGTTGCCTAACTCGAATGACACATTAGTTAGCTGTTGCGATGTTCTCGCACGGCTGGTACACATCTTGTTAATTTAAATTCTATAAAAGACGTTAGTAACGTTTATATTTTTCGAAGATCTATTACGACCCATAATTTCAGGATATAAATGAAGTGGCGCTAGTGTTGCTCCCACCTAACAAGCTTGCGCTTCCGCCATGTTGTTATTTATTGTAAGAAATTAAAGGGGTGTATTAGGATGACGTCTAGTGGCATTATGTTCATACCAAATTATCAAAAATCGGCCCACTAGTTCAGAAGATGAAAGGGGTACACAGAAAATGGTGATAGCATAAGCCTTCTTTCTTTCCTTGCAGAAAAGAAAGTAGAGTAACAACGAATTTTTGCGTGTCACACGACGGAGGTTCTTTCAAACTGCTGTTTTCTGAATTCCGCGGGTAAATTCAAATCATGACAGATACCTATAGATGGTAGAGGCGTCGTTCTTCGTGCGGTTTTGCTCGGCGTTTTCCAGGCACAACTGCAGATTACGGCTCTCCTCCAGCAAGGTAAGCAAGTTGAGCTCCTCCCGACCGAGCTGATACTCCAGCTCTGCTTGCTGGATCCGGACGTCGATGTTGCTAAAGCATTCAGGTGTAAATTACGTTTACAGTCCTGTTACTGTACGGTGACCTCTGACCTGCATGAGAAGGGAGGTAAGCCAAGATAATGGGGAGGCAGAGTGCCAGTGATGTCCAATAGCGGTACTGGCAGAGGGCGTGGAGGCAGCGTCACTACAGATTCATTGATACAGTCCACCCAGCCTCCTATCCAGTGGGTACCGGGCGTGTAGCTGACCACTCACCTCAGTCAAGTGCCGAGGTTAAGAACTCAGGCATACTCCCCATGCGCCTTCACAGCGTAGTGCGTATTTGAGCACAAAAAAACTCCGTGGTCTTAGTCCGCAAGCGAACTATACCGACAGAGCCACCGCCGCTTGTCGGCGAAGTTAGTGTCAACTTTAGCGGATAGAGGGTGTCGCGTGGTCAGCGCAACGAATCCCCACGGCCGTTAATTTCGTTTTTTAGACCGGAGCCGCTATTTCTTTGAAATAGTTCCGCAATTATCCTCACGAATCTGAGCGGACCCCGTTCCAAACCCACTACTTCTCAGAACATCTGGTAGCGCCGGGAATCGAACCCGGATCTTTGGATCTGTAGCCAGGAACTCTTACCATTTGAGCACAGGGACAGATTTACTTCAGCTTTACCTTGTCACATATATTTACTTGCGGACAACTAGAATTTTGATTCACCACTGTTACTCTTGTTTGTTTTTGCATGTCTTGTAACTTGTCAAACAGAGGAGACATATACCTGTTCAATCGATTAATTTTGTTCTTATTAATATGACTACTCTGTATTCTCCACGTTCAGCCCCTCTGGTACACATGTCAGTAAACTCATAATACGAGAATGGACACAATCAGTGTTCCTGTCCAGATAGATTTCAGAGGTCACCGTAAAATAATATGACTTTACGAAACAAAGTCCCACTCCTCCCGGTGTCTACCTACACACAGTAAAAAAGTAAAAGTGAAGCTATCCCTGTAACAGGCCATGAAGGCCCATAGGGTTGTGAGACGTTGAGGGTCCCACATTATCTAGACAGTCGGTTCACAGATGGCGGTAAGGTTGTCAGCCTAAACGCGCCGGCCGCGCTTTACTCCACAGGAAAATTATTTATTTAATTCCTGGTACTCATTTCTGTTAGAGGCTGAGTGAACCCCAGGGCCATAGCGCGGCCGGAAGGATTAGGTCAATTCAAAAAAATCCAATGACCTCATCGGTAACCTACACACAGATCAGCGAATTTTTAAGAATTGCTTAATATATACTTGTATCCACGCACGGTTTTGGCAAATCGGTGTTTCGATAAGATTTAATATTCTTGCTACGGGAAAGTGCAGCTACGGCCGGCGGACACAGATAAAGGTAAATATGCTAGATTTATTTCTCGTTGATCAGTAGCTCTATTCATAAATGTACATACTAATTTAGGGGATCGCGGTATTAGCCCTGGTCTGATGGATCAGAGGATCGGTGACACATGAGGCCACTCCGGACAGTGTAGCTACTCACTCGGTGATGTCGAGCCTCTCAAGCGCCATCTTGAGGTTCTTGATAGTAAGTCGCTTGTTGTCCATGTCCTGGCGCAGTCTCTGTAGTCGTTCCTCCGCAGAACGGCGTTCCTTCTCTGTGAGGGGTTGCCCGCTGTTGTTTTGTCTCAGGTACGTCGCCGACAGGCGACTGATGCTCAGCGTATTGCATAGCTGCCCCTTGAGGCTGCAGAATAGACATACTCATTATTAAAACCTCGGTCCGCAGACAAGCTACCCTGACTAAGGATGTGTGTGGGATATGTACTTAAAATAGGTCACGACAGCTTCGTTCCACATCCTTTCCAATTAACTATTTTCAGCCGTTCAAATATTTGCCATTGCAATCTAACTAGCAGCTCACTCAGTTGGAAGAATTCTTCAGAAGGTAACAGTATGTCACCTAATCAAGAAATTATTCTCCTTCTGTGGGACCCGAAGGTTAATTGCCGTGCTGATAGAGAGGTGACGGATCCAATCCAAGTCCGCAAACCCCATTTCCTAGACATCCGTTTTAATACTATCGACCCATCTGCGTCTAGGTCTTCCCAGTGTTTTCCTCCCTTCAACCTTTCCGGCCAAAATTCTGTATGCGTTTTTCATCATTCCCATGCGTACTACATGTCCCGCCTGTCTTCGTCTCCTCTGTAAGTTATTACCTCAAAATTGTAATGCCAGAATTGCTTGCTGCCTGCTGTGAGAACCTCAGATTCCGCCCTTTGTGTGCTGTTCAAAACCATGGACAGGTTGCAACATAACAGGGACCGTTCGCACTGTATGATTGTTCATAATTTAAGGGAGTGTGAACAGACTTGAATTCGGCCGGTTATAATCTCTGCCTTATTACTGGCTGTCTTTATTAAGGGCGCGAACTCATCTTTCCAAATCCTTCCATTTCATCAGAGATCTACATAATCATCTTACCATTTTATTCAACGCTGTTTAATCACTGTAATTGAAACAGAGTAGTTAAATAGACTTTAAAGGATTCTGACGATGGTGTATGCTGTATAGAACTATAAGAACTATCTGTCTCTGAAACGTGGTTTTTTGTCTTATATATCCCAGACCAAAATAAACCTTATAGTTCTATACAGAGTAGTTAAATGCCATACGAATCAACCATTGTTCAACAGATATGACTTCTGCACTAAACATCATTACAGTGCATAATTCTACTTGTCCCATTTTTTTTTCCTTGGCACTACAGCCCCAGTGGGCCTAGGCCTACCACCATAAACTCCGTTCACTTCGGTTTTTCTAGATTTTACACATACGGTAGGACTCCTTGGACGAGTGATCAGCTCGTCGCAAGGCCTCTACCTGTAGACAAACACAGAAAAACGCACACATCCATGCCCTGAGTGGGATTCGAACCCACGATCCCGGCTTCCGAGCGAGCGAAGACAGTGCATGCCTTAGACCGCTCGGCTACCGTGACCGGCCTGCTTGTCCCATACTAGCCTGTAAATATCGCATCTTCCTATTACGGATTATCGACCCCGTCCTCTATAATCGCGAGCTCCTTATTGGCACCTTCTTTGGCAGATGTGCGATGCAGAGCGATATACACGTACACGTAAGTGATAAATGCCCACCGGAGCTTTTTTGGGTCATGCAAATTTACATAACCTGATTTTAAAGGATCCCACTATCCCAACCCTTTTTCTTTTTTCGTCTCAGTTCATATCTCTGTTACAAAGCGAGTTTCTGTAACGGCAACTCTCTGGTCTTTATATTCCGGAGCTACACTTCGAATTTCGGCAGAGTTACCGGCTGTCGTGACCAGTTCTTCCAGGCCTTCTGCAGAATCCAGAAGAATACCGGTATTAGACCTGACGGCTCCTTCCAAATCTTTCCTGTTCATCGCTCCTCCTAATCCACGTTATAAAGTATCTACTGATGAGCAGCGTCGTTAAATACAAGTTGCCTGTACTCAACACCTCAGAAGCCATCAGTCCTGCTGTCACTTGCTCAGGGTCGAACCAGGGTACCTTTGGATCACGTTCTCCTTATCCCGCACGACATTACGCAGGGTTTCCAGTTCCTTGGCGATGTCTTTAGACGTGATGGGGCGATGTACTGGGGGGCCGCTGACTACCCCTGTTGTTATTGTGCCTACGCCGCCGCAGCCGCCCCCAATACTCCCGTTCTTCTTTCGGCGCGGGGTTGTTGAGAGGGACACCTCAATACTGGCCATCTGCAACAAACATAAATGTTTGTGTTTTATGTTAATGCTAGTTGTGATCCACAAGTATTGTATATGTGGTCATTCCAGCCTTACTGTTTACATTGAAGCTTTTTGAAGGAAAGTAGGCTTCGTTATTTCTTCCCAGAACTTATTCTTAGGCTTGTAATTTGGAGTAAATAAAATAAATTAACATATGGGACTTATATTGGGGGCACGCGGTAGCGTAGTTGGTTGAGGCACTATGCTACAAGCCGGAACGTCTCAAGATCGAATCCCGATGAGGTGGATTTTTTCACTTTACCTAATCCTTCCAGCCCCATTATGGACCTGGGGTCAACTCAGCCTCTAACAGAAATGAGTACCAGGAATATTCCTGGGGGGTAAAGGGCGGCCGGCGCTTAAGGCTGACAACCTCGCCCTCATCTGTGAACCGACTCTCTAGCAAATGTGGGAGCCTCGACATCTCACAACCCTATGGGCCTCCAGGGCCTGTTACAGGGATACTCTCACCTTATGGGACTTACATTAGAAGCGCCGTAAGAGATGTTCATCTAATTACGAAAGTCAGCCTAATGTCTCCAAGAAGAGAATGAATATGCTTCAATTAGATGTGGAGAATGCATAGACGTGCTGATGGTCGTTCTGCATAGCTCAAGCGGTTGTTTAATTATCGTCACCAATACAGATTTAGGGAGGAAATTACCATATAAATATTACGGACCCTACGTTAAGTGTCGCAGTAGGTTCCTATTACTTTAGCTCAACTTTTGACTCAAAAGTTATTGGGAGAATGACTATTGATTATTGAAGGGGTGGGTTACCCCATGCACCGCGACCAGTTTGATCTATTGTGCGTCCCCCTTTGAATTTCTACTGTCTCGACACCCTACCTCTACTGGTGCTTGCTATCGTTCCCTTCTGTCAGTGAGGTCGTCCCTCCTCTGGCAGTGGTACCTAAGTTCTCCCATCTACCGGAGGCATTGGAAACTACTTGGGCGGGAAATTTGCCTAATTTAGCTCAGAGGTCTCCTAGAGACATGAGGTTCTTTTACGTGCCGTAAATTTACGACACGGGACCCACGGCTTAAAGTCCCTCCCGGAGGACTTGTTCCCTGAATTTTTCCGCCCTTAAAAATTCCACGACCTCCGCCGAGTTTGAACCCGCGTACCTTGAGTCATGAGGTGGGAACGTTACCCCTAGACTACGGAGGCATGACATGACTATACTATAAACATATATATTTCATTATAAACTACGAAATACACACTAGAAATAATTCAGAGTATATTTACTTAATCAGTATGACGTAAGATGCCACAAACTTGATTGTGAATGTCTGAATTACGATAAATAGGATAGACCTACCAAATTTCGTTTCTTGCTACTCTGAATTCTCCATGAAATTAGGTACCCAGTTTGTTTTCCAGTTAGCTTCAGCAGTTCGCTACATTCAATAGAGGTATTGTCGTCACCTCATAAGGAAGTTATTGCATTTCCTTAAATTCACTGCGGAATTACTGCAGTAGTATTTCACGCATAAAGTTTCAGTCTGCAAGACTGATGTTTAAAGGTTTCGCTGAGACTTTAAAATGGTGTATGAATCCACCTTCTGACATCGGCAAACCAGATTTGTGCTGTGAAGTTCCTTTCAGACTGCAATTACCGTTTATTTCCTTTTTTTAGCTGTCTGCTTAGTATATACATATTTGAGGTACAGCATTTGTTGAAATCATGATTAGTTGGCAACTTTGTATGAAATACGTCTGTGCATATCTCAATTATCCGGAAAATACATCATGTGAAACAGTCTGAGACTCGATATGCTGCTGGCTACTCTATGAGCATTATATACATATTAACTTGAACGTGAACATCTGTAGATCTACTTTCACCAACTGAAATTATTTTTAAAGTACGGTAGTAAGGAGGCCGTAGCTCTAGGCTTGTACTGGGTGCTACCCTCTTCGGCTCTTGATCAGATTGACGGTTCCAGCAATTCTCCTTGGTCTTTCCAGGAAATTGCAGGGATAATACCGTGAAACACGTCGCTTCCTTCCAGATCCATACCTACTCACCATTCGCTGCCGTGTTCCACTTCAATCGAAGTTACGTAAACAGTATCGTTAATTAAAGTGGGACGAATGATTTTACACTGCAGGAGCGTGGAGTATATATATATGTCGTCGTTCCAAATTCTGATCGGGAACCGAACTGAGAACATTCTAAACGTACCTCAACCAAGGCTAATGCCATTATGATACAGAATTTTTAGGATATAAGGCTCTCACAGAGAGTGGTTATGAAGAGTTTCCATCTTCTGGGATATAACGCCGTGTAAAAGTAAAGCTATCCCTGTAACAGGCCGTGAAGGCCCATAGGGTTGTGAGACGTTAAGGGTCCCACATTATCTAGACAATCGGCTCAGAGATGGCGGTAAGGTTGTCAGCCTTACGCGCCGGCCGCGCTTCACTCCCCAGAAAAATTATTTAATTAATTCCTGGTACTCATTTCTGTTAGAGGCTGAGTAAACCCCAGGGCCTATTGCGGCCGGAAGGATTAGGTCAATTGAAAAAAAAAATCCAATAATCTCATCCTGACTTGAACCCGCGACCTTCCGGCTTGTAGCATAGTACCTTAATCACTACGCTACCGCGTACCCTATAACGCCGTATAGTCCGCTGAAAGTCAGCTGACGTCCCGGGGGAACAACACCATCTTCAGGGTTTAAGCGTAAGCCAAGCAAGACACCAGCATGAAGCATGTTAACTTTCAGCAGACTACACGGCGTTATATCCCAGAAGACAGAACTCTTCGTAACCACCGCTGTGAGAGCCTCAAATCATAATAGTGCTTTTTTTTTCCTATGGGGGAGCTACTCCTCGATACTTTCGACGATACGAGAGGCTACGGGTCAAGAAGGCGTTTCTCCGAAACGGTGGTTGACTTTCAACGGACTACAAGGCGTTATAACTCTTATTACTGCTTGTTCATAGCTAGAGAGCAAGAAAAGAAATCCTGCTTTTATGGAACGAAAAGGTTTACCACAATGTTCACAAAAATCTTGCATCCCAACTTAGCTGAATATTCTCCATGCCCAGTAGCGTCACTGGCAACGACCGCCTTTTTCTATAACTGATTGTTCATTATTCTTATTGTCCTACCACAGATATCTCATACAACCCTATATACTCGTAGCAGGTACGCCCACGTATATCTACTGTTTATGTACTTCGTAAGAGGTGTGCAAAGTGAAGGCATAAGAGAGATGTCTAACACCTTCGTATGCTTCATCTCGGAAACAGCTGGACGGATCTCGACGTTGTTTAGTACTAGGGGATCATTACCAAAAATTGTCAGGCAAATTTAATTGTCGTTTGGAACATAAATGTATGCGTCTTCAACAGCTAAAAGCAGAAAATTGTTTAACTTCGGATCAATTATAATATTACGCATGTGTTTATCCCCTTCTCTCTCTCNCCCCCCCCACCCCCCGGGCAGAATACGGCGAGACCTTCTCACATGATTCAATGTGCTGCCTAGGAGATGGCAGCACGTACAAGTACGTCTGCAATGACGTCATATACACTATTGATGTATACACTATGTATTCGTATTCCACTTCAGCTGTAATTACTTCAATTATTGTACTGTTCTCAGTAAGGTTAAACGATATTAGAGATTTCAATGCAACAATTTGCTAACTGTTACGGTAGTAGGTGTGGATAGAAATTGGTGCAGACTTATATAACAACATTCAGAGATGCGCAGCACTGTAGTCAGGTTGGCCGAGCGGTCTAAGGCGCCAGACTTAAGTTCTGGTTCCCGTAAGGGAGCGTGGGTTCGAACCCCACACCTGACAGCCAACTTTTTTTTCTTCTTTGAAACTATTCCTTAAGTTATATGAATTATATTGATTTACTTCCATATACATTACACTACGCAGTAATGTTTTAAATATTTAGAAATATATAGGTTGACTACAGCAACAAGTACGTGTATAAGAATGACATGCTGGGTTGTTATTAGTGCAAGGTAAACTTCGAGCCGTCTAAGGCATGCACTGTCTTCGCTCGCTTTGAAACCGGGATCGTGAGTTCGAATCCCACTCAGAGCATGGATGTTTAGTTTGTGTACAAGTAGAGGCCTTGCGACGAGCTGATCACCCACCCAAGGAGTCCTACCGAATGTGTAAGAACTAGAAAAACCGAAGTGAACGGAGAAGTTCATGGATGTAGGCCTAGGCCCACTGGGGCTGTAGTGCCAAGGAAAAAAAAAGGTAAAGTTCTTCCTGTGCTTAATTCATTAAGCATCACGCCATGAAGATGTATGTGGGAATGGAGGTATACCATCGCCATTCTTGAGCTCAGCACTATATGGAGGTGGGCGGTCAGCATCATGCACCGGCCGCTTAACAACCGGAGCAAAAGTCCCCGGTATTCATTAGATAGGAGGGGTTGGCCCCAGAATCAGTCTGAACGCTGTAGAGTAGGAAATATCTCGTGCCCCCGACGGGAATCGAACCCCGGCCATCCAGCCGGCAGCCCGTTGCTATACCGACTTAGTACATGGCATGCTACGAGTACATTAATTTTCGCTTGCTTCAAAAGGAAGAATAAGCTTACGGTAGGGGTGGGAAAGGGGGGCACGCGGTAGCGTAGTTGGTTGAGGGGCTATGCTACAAGCTGGAAGGTCGCGGGTTCAAATCCCGATGAGGTCATTGGATTTTTCCAACTGACCTAATCGTTCCAGCCGCACTATGGCCCTGGGGTTCACTCAGCCTCTAACAGAAATGAGTACCAGGAATTAATTAAATAATTTTCCTGGGGAGTAAAGCGCGGCCAGCGCGAAAGGCTGACAACCTTACCGCCATCTTTGAGCCGATTGTCTAGATAATGTGAGACCCTCAACGTCTCACAACCCTATGGGCCTTCATGGCCTCTTACAGGGATAGCTTTACTTTTTACTTACAGGTGGGAAATGATTTAGGCTGGCGGGCAATGTCACTCGC